CCCCTCCCCAAACATCATGTCTGATACACTGTTAACAAAACAGCTAACATACTTGTCACACTCTTGTGGGTTAGGAGTGAAATGAGGAAATGGTAAGCAGGCCTGTTACGACTCAAAATGGCTGCTTATTCTTTCCTTTTTTCTTTTGAGCACTTTTTTTTTCTTTTGAGTGTCAGGCAGCGGAGACATTTGCAGTTAGGCTTATTAAGATCAGCCAACAATTCAAAACTTGAAGCAAGATCAAGGTAAAAAAAATCAAGAACTCATGGAACCAGATAAAAAAAAGTCAAAACCAGAATAGTTAGAACAGAGATAAAGGCATGGTAAGTCAGACAATGATACACTGAGTATTACTTCGCAGTGAGTGAGTGTTTTTGAGTTCTTTATATAGTGGTGGGTGTGAGACAAGTGTGCATGATTAGAAGTCTGGTGACTGTGAACATGACAATGGACGTGTGTGTTGGGAAGTGTAGTCGGTGGCAGCCAGGTTTGTAGACTGCAGTGTGTTCTGGAAATGGAGTCTGGTGCTGACATGACATACTATTCTAACTATTCTAGCTCTCAATTCGTCATCTCAAACACACCATACACTTCAGCTCTCACTGCTTGGCTCACGTGCCACGCAGCACACTGGCAGTCTCTCTGATACACTGTTAACAAAGCTAAGCTACTAGCATGCTGTATAAGTGTGTATAAACCTGGCAATCCCAGTCCCCACTGGGACCATCCCTACCCCAAAACTGTTTTGTTTAACTGTGTGGATTGGCTGTACCTGGGTTCTGTTCCAAGGGGAAATCCCAGAAGGTAATCCCTGTGAAGGATGGAAGGGCCCTGACACGGAGGTGATGTGGATGGCGCCAGCACTGCCTTCCCAGCCGATGCTGTGTATATTCCACACCGTACTGCAGGACCTATCGGCAAACATTTCTCATACTATTTCCTGAAAACCTGGCCAATTTGTCCCAAGAAATAGTGGACGGGTGAGGCGAGGACTAACTGCCACCTCTACTCAATGTAGAGGGCCCTGGACACCAGCGGATACTTTTGAACATCCCCATGCACACACATTTCCTTCACCAGTTGTGCATTACCCAATGCCCCGCCTTGAATTAGGCTTTGGTAGAATGAGGTAAGGGCAAGGGGAGACATCAGGAAGGAATTTGAGAAATGAGAGACAGCCGGCACTCGACCATGCCCCTGCTGCCTCAGAGGTCCCCACACATAACCTTCCAATCACACAGAGCGAAGTTATATTTGCACATGCAAATGTGTGACACCATTGTTCCCACCAAGTCGTTTGACCTGACAGATCCCAGGTCTCCACCAGGAAGTATAATGTAAGGTCTGTCTTCTATCACAAATTTTCACTTTTTGAAATAATAGGCCATGTGGGGGAGGGGCTAATAGAGCCTGTATTATTCTCTACTTTATGCCTAGCCTTGTGTCCCCACCTAGTAACAAAAAACACTTGTGTGTGTATAATCTTGTGGGAAAATAGCATGGAAAATTACTTCACCAATCATTAATCCAGATTCTTTTTAATTATTATTATTATTTTTTTTTTTTTTTTCACATTTTACCAACTATCAGCTAGTTGGGAGAGCACTGCTTTTTCTTGATTGTGCTTATGTTTATGTTTTGCCATATGTATTCTTTTTGGTTCCAGTTCTTTCTCTGCACTGTCTGGACATTGGTTGGTTCCCCTAATGTGTATTGTTTTTCATTTTGATTAGTTTGCATTTTATACTCTTATGTTTCTTTGTCTCATCACAAAGGCTAATTGATTATCATGCATCGCTAAGCATGTTGTTCCCTTGTTCTAGCTTTCAGATTTCTGACTCTTTCCTGTGTTAACATTTTTAAATATGGATTTCCCTCATTTAATATACATTAATATATATTGACCCAAGGAATTGACACTGACTATGATTTTTGGATTGAGGCAATCAGTGGTTCAATATTAAGTGCAACCAGTAATGGAGATAGTGGTCATCTTCGTAACCATTAGTTAGTACAGAGTCAAGGGGTGATACAGTTACTATTATATAGTATTTCTGTCCATTTAGTTAAATCCAAATCCAAATAAGAGAGGTGAAAGGAGCACTCAAAGACCTCAGAATCTAGCGATGCTAATATAAATGGTGATTTATTTATTTTACCATGGATTTAGATCTAGTTGGCAAGAACAACTTTCAGATCTGAAACAATAGTCACAGAACTGATAATATAATCATTCGTTTTTAGTTTCTATTTCCTATCTAACAATTCTATTTTTAACTCACAGTATGTCTCCGAATAGATTGCTTAATACGAAAATGCAAACCCATATAGTTCGCAACCTGGTATGTCTAAGGATACGGCAGTGGGACTAAATTTATGAAACAAATAAAACATGAGTACATTTTTCATATTACCCACTTAGATCCTTTGAAAGAAATAAAATAACACTCACAAAATTATGAGCTCCTGCACAACACGGTACTTTCAGTCCATGAGAGTTGAAATCTTTGAGTTGAGAGTTGAAGATCACATAAGGTACTCATAAAATATTTCAACATGAAGTGCACCACATTGTTACATTAGCAAAAACAATGTAAATAAATAAAAAATAACATTGCACTGCATGGTGTTGCATCATACCATTGCGGATAATAAATGCGATATCATTCTCTCAATATGATACTGGTTTGACATAAAACATCAAAACATACATCCACAAGTGATACTTATCCAAAATATTGTCATGAAATACTATATATAGTGGTATATATATATATTATATACCACTGGATGACATGAAATATAGCAAAAAAATTCAGAGAGTGCTTCTCTCCTGCACTTCTCACTGAGCATCGAGTAGTGTGTGTGCGCGCACGTGCATAGTCTCTTTGCTCGTACTTCACATCGCCACTTACTGACACCTCAAGGTTAATTCAGGCAATAACAGCTTTTCTTGTCCTTATACTTAGCTGGAGCCATTCATCTGAACAGGAAATAAGTTTCACACAGTGCAAGGAAAGAAGCAAAATAAAGGGACCATTACCACCCGGTTATATTTAGGAAGTTATTACTATTGTACCACTGCATTAAGTTAATGAATCTTTGTGTGTTTTCTGTGGAGTGTCTCCCTTTGATGAGATCAATGTTCATAAGTGTGAGGATCACAGATTCTAGTTTAACTGACAAGTGCTTTACTTGTCCTTTATATATTTAAATTTATTTATGATATCGGATGGTAGTTGAAACATTGATTGGAGTCTTTAATTCGTTTTAAAATTAAAGTCAAATTTAAAATTAAATTAAAGTGGTTTTAAAACACCTTTGGGATGAATTAGAATGTTGACTGAGAGCCAGGCCCTCTTGTCCAATCAGGGACGGATTATGAGAAAGTGGGCCCCTGGGCACGGATGTACAAAAAGCCTCCCAGCGTCCAAACGGTGAGGTTAAAAGACACTAAGTTTTTAAAATACAGAGGTTTAAGGACATACAACATAGTCTGTACCCCTGCCCCAGTAAATAGTTTAAATAAATAATAATAAAAAAAAAACTCAAGAAAAAAAAAATCTTGAAGAGGGCCTCAGTATGTACTAGTCAACATTTCATACTAGAATTCTCATAGTGTGCAACTACCACTGTACAGCACATGATCATCTATGTGCTGAAACTCTGCTTAAAATCAGTGCCTGCGTTTGATGTAAGTCACACTTGTACCTAAAACAATTCAGAAACACGTCGGATGTGAACAGTGGCATACACAGGAATTGTTTTCAGTGTGATGAGGACCTTTACAAAATAAAATCTTTTTTTGCATTATCATTTTAAGGCATATTAATAATGTTGCCATAAATTACCTTTATGACAGTTTCAATTAAATGATTAAAATAACATCAATAATAGGGGAACATTATGCCTTTTCTTATAAATCCTGATCTACTGTCTATTCCTATTAGATTAAACGTACTGCAGGCTACCTCATCAGTCCTAACTTCAATATCTCTAATGCTTAAAGTGTAGCTATCTGGCTAGTAGCTTTCAGACAGAAACGGGGAAGACGGATGGTCCCAGTTGGTTAACCATCAGCCATTAGAAAAGGAATGCATTCATTTAAAAAAAAAAAAAAAAAAAAAACTTTAATCAGGATAATAAATAAGTTAAATATGTCATAAATAAATAAATAACATAGCTTTGGATTACAAACCACCCCAAACATCCTTGGCTTAGCTGTATATGGCCTAAAATAATAAACTAAAAATGAACTAAAAAATAATCTATAAATAAACAAACAAACAAACAAACAAATTGTCAAAGGATATGTCAAAGGATAGTACTGAGCTACAGGAACACTATCCCCCTGTCCTCATGGATGGTTGTGCTGTAAATAAAACTAAATTAAAGTTTAAACAAAACATGCTGTATGGCAGGGAGCCTCAAGTTCTTCATTATATAAATATATTTCATGGCAATCATAACTGTAAAAGATGCCTGCACCCTCAATCAAGACAGGCTAAATCCATCCCTGAATCACACTACCAAACTAGTGAGCCAAAATAGCTCAGCATGAGCTTCCCTTTCTTAAAAGATGATGATAATTAGCTTAACAATATTATACCTGCAATTACAGGGGACAAACCCTGACTTGCACAAGGTGGGGCCCTATAAACTATTAAAAGAAA